CTACACCAGTAAGGGGGGGGGGGGGAAGAGGGAGGGCAAGAGCTGGTCCATCCCCTCCCAGCCCTTCCAGGCTTCCTGCTGCTGGCCTCAGACTGCATCACACCCCATCCTTCCTCTCAGAAGGCATATAACCAATCCTACAGCTTCTAACTCATTAACCAAGCCTTTTTTAGGACAGAAATATTAAATTTGTGCATGAAAAAAACGCTTCTATGCGCTGAATACTCTAAAAGCCTTAACACACACCCACTGGACATGAAAGACCATTGTAAGACTGTTGTGAGTTGAATGACTCTGTTCTCGTACCCAGAGCTTTTAGATCAGGTACAATAGGCATTCACAAAATAATTTCACAGATATCCCTAAAGACACTTCCCCCCCCAACCCCAGGAAAACTGCACATCATGGTCATTAAACACAAATCCTGAGTCCTTGGATTGAGAGTTAGAAGACAAGCATTAACACTGCTTTATACTGCTCAAGGCATGTCATCTGCTTTATCAATTCATCCTTCCCTTAAACAGCATCACAGACAAAAAAAGACAGCTACAGATGCAAGTACAGAAGACTTTTTGAAGAACTGCCAGTTTGTTCAAGCTGGAGTCCAGTCCCATGATGAGCTTCTGAGTCTCTACTCCCAAAGGGCTCCAGTAATACTTTGGGACTCCTCGCCTGCATCCCACATAGGGCTGTTAGGAGCAAAAGGGGGCAGGACACAACTGATCCAACTGGTTCACGGCCAGGGAAATGCTCACAAGCACATAGGAACACATTCGCGTCCCTTGTAATACATAGTCTAGACAGTCTATTTGACAATTTCGTCTCAAACTTTGGATACCTCAGTAGAGCTGCCCAAGTCTGCAGAGGCCTGTGTATGGTAACCCCGACCATTTCCAGTCAAAGTTGCTTAGCTGACAAACAGCAGCAGAGAACTAGCCTGCCTCAAACTCCCACCTTTCTCTTCTCAGTCTTCTCCATTCTGTAAAACCTTGTTCCTTCCTCTCCCCACCCTGCTGAATACAGGTCAGTTTTACTTCCCGAAAATCTTGAGAGAAGCAGATTCAACCTACTGCACTCATTTGGCAACAGGACAGTGGCTCGTCTCAGTGCCCGAAGACTCTGCCAGACAGCTTTGGGTTCTCACACCACTTGCCCCTCAGGCCCTAGCCTGGACACGCTTGGCAGAGCCAGGGAGCTGCTACATCCACCCACCTTCTGCCTGTCAAATTACCAAATCCTGATGGTTATCATCAACAGGAACAATTTAAAGCAGCTGTGAAGTTCAGCCTCTGGCTTTCCAGCACCACTGCAGAAGAACAGGGGTGCAGCATTAGATTGATTTGAACCTTCTTCTTGCCTATCAAGAATTGCACTTGCTGATCAAGGGCCTCTTAGGGTACTCTTTCTTAGAGCAGACATCTTTGCCATTGCTTAGGCTTTTCCCAGTGTTTTATCAAAAAACTGCCTACAAAAGTCTTTCAGATTTCATGCTGGATTTTAAAACTTTAAAGAAAATATACTTATTTTGTTCAGAAAACATACAGCTCAGTATACATGCATTGCAGAGAACAGCCCCCACCCAAAAATTTAAAAAATAACCAAAACACATCTTTCTCAGTATGCAAGACATGGAGAAGCACAGGAAAGTGAAATCATTGTCACTCCATTATTCCTATGGCTTAAGTGGCTAGAAGACAGACAGGACGGTTATGCTTCTCCGAGCTTTCTCATTCACTGTTTTATGAAGCCCTAAGGCATCACTTGCTCTCTAAGACCCTTCTGAAGTGATGTGCCTATTTTTGTTAAGAGACATGCTTTTTAAAATAACGTGTAAACTCAAGCATACGTACAGTAATAAGCCTAGGTGGCTGACTTGACATTCAGACTGATCACTTGTGAAAAATGACAGCCACCATTTGGCAATTTGTTGGCTGGCAGCGAGAAAATAGTTTGAAGTTCAATTCAATTGACTTGACCTGAGGAAGATCAATATGCAAAGTAAAATTAGTTAAACGTAGTGTGGAAGAGAGGGCAAGACAGGCTTTACAGCACTTTAAAGGGCAGACTTTGAAAATGCTAAAGATATGTTAAAAAAAAAAAAGAAAAAGCAAGCAAAGTTTCCAGCATTTACAAGTTGATAAAAGGGTTCCTGTCGTACCCAAGATTTATGAGCATGATTTGCTGTTCTGCAGAACAAGTAACACTGCAGGATGTGAGATCTCGTTACCAAGAAATGAGATCTGGAATTGGCTGTGACTGAGACATAGGTGAAAACAGATCTTTTACTTATAAAAGCTCAAGTGCGCTCTGCATTCTGTGGTCTAGACAGACCGCACTGTTTCCTCATCAGTACTTCCCAATGCACTGGAGCACTTACATTGAAATGAACTCTGTCCTGCTATCAAGCTGCAAAACAGTATTAAAATGTATGCCACATCTCCCATTAGCAAGATGACGCATTGCGGAGTATACGACAGGAATCCTCAGGGAATACTTTGGGATTACAAATGAAATGCTGCACAGATGGGATTGTCGGGTAAGGGAATTCCCTCTGCCCCATATAAGGCTTAGAACATTTAGAGCCCTTCCATCAATTGGCAAGATCGGGCCATTTTATCTCCTAAATATTTAAAGTTCAGGCAGAGAGATATGTTATTTGAAAAACTAAGAAGAAGGAACACTTATAGGAGCACTGTAGAACGCTTACAGTTACTTGTGTTGCTCTTTGTTTTCCCCCTTCCCCCCCCCCTGCCCTTTTTAATACCACAAATACAATGTCTACTAGGGAAGCAGAAGAGGTATGCAGTCATACAGGGAGAAGGACAAGAGTTCTCACACAAATTGTTAGAGGCAAAGTATCAGGCCCCATCTCTCTCCTCCATAATAGTCTAAGATTAAACCATAATTACTCTCTGGATTCAGTTACTTTCTCAGCCATCAGCAGTTATATCTACATTTGTTGTCTAGCAGATTAGTGGAGCTACAGCTTTGTCTGCTCCTGAGAAACAGGTTACACAACCCGAAAAGCCAATAAAACAGCGCTTACGGGAAGATACTGTGCCTTTCCTTTATAGCCTATCTTGTCATCGTTGTCTTGAGGACCAAGAGATTGGGTATCCAGAGGATTTGCAAAGGCCCAGAGGGCAGCTACGTGCTAACTCCAGTAGAATGCCAAGGGGAGTTGGACCCGACTTTTAAGCCCAGCACCTGACATCGGCCAGCATAAGGTATTAGCACCACAGCACCGAGCTCATTGTTCGGCTATACCAGCAGTAGCTTCAGGTTTCCTTCTACGTGACTGAGCCTAGCTATCATTCTCATATTTGTAATTGGGTTTCAAAACGTTTGTCCTGAATTCCTGTAAGAATTTGTGAGCCTCTCTCTTACAAAGCATCCCCCTTCAGCTCCCTGCTGTTCCTGTATCTACTACACAGAGTCAGAGGTTTGGTATCTCCTTTCTGCTCAGAGCAGATATAGCTGATTTATGAAATAATCATGGAGTCATAACACAGAATCAGAGATCACAAAGTCCCACAAGTCCACCCCAGTGCCTGACAGAGGGAACTCTGCTGACCGATATTTGTCTAGGGTGTTCCACAGATCCCCAGCAACACAGGTTCCACACAACCTCTCCAGGTGATCCTTTTCTAGTGTACCACAGCCCTTGTTTTTTTTGCCTCCTAATAGTTAATATGAACTCCTCTCGCTGCAACTGAAAGCCATCACATCTTGTCCTACCCATCACAGACGAGATTAAGCCCTCTGCACTAGCACTTGAAGATTTGTTTCTCTCTTGGACTCTTTTTCCTCCTCTTCAGGGTAAACAAATCCATTCCTTTCAGTCTTTCCCCAGTTCTGTCTCCTATACTTGTAGTCTTCCTTTACACTCTCTTTTTTAGGCTTTCTCTCAATGGTTTGCCATTTTCTTGAAGAAGTACAACAACAGCCAGCGATACAGATAAGGTTTTGTCCATGCTCTTAAAAGCAGAGGAACCCCTTCAGATATCTGGCAAGCTGCGCTGCCACTTTTATATCATAGGATGACAATGACTTTCCAAAAGCATGACACTGTATATTTATCTCCAGCTTTCACTCCAAAGCCACTGTTTCCAGTTTAGCTTAGATCCACAGAAGGCCAGAAGTAGTTATCATGTGGCAAAAAAACTGGTCTCTCGTACAAAGTAATTGGAGTATAAGGGGTGGGCAGAGATGGCCACAGACACAGAATATAGGAGCATGTTAAGTGTTCTGCTACTGAACAGCGTTGATTTGCTCACAACTCCTAAAGATTGCAGTTGGAGACTCCCAGAATTAACAGGCTGAAAACTTGTTATTATTTACTTATCCTGCAGGAAGTCTCCACTTTTAAGGCAAATAAAGAAAAGCTCATGCTTCCTCAGTAAAGTCTCCTTGTAAAAGACAGGCTGATCTCAGTGGTAACTTTAATAAACATTGCATTAACTAAAAAAAACCCACACACAAACATGTTAAAATACACATTTGCATGCGCATGCACACAGCCTTTGTTTTACTACAGAATCTTTTATACCAAGATTAAAGCACTTAAACATTAATCCTCACAATCTCTCTATCAGCAAAACACATTAAAGTTTCCTTTATCACATGGAGAAACCACAGCTTAGAGAGGTTAAGTCAACTGCCCAAAGCCACAGAGTAAGCTGATGACAGTCTTTCTTATGCACTTTTATGATGAATTTGAAGAGAAATCGGACAAACGCATAGTGCTTTGCAATCCACAGCTTTGCACAAAGTCTGCTTTCCGCTTGATATTGAGGAGCAAACACTACGTGGAAAAACTGATACACAGAATAACACATGCATAACTGATCACAAAGCGCAACTGGAGTCTACAAGGAGAACACTGACCTTCTATGTAGGCTGCCTGAAGGCAGTTATCCATACAAAATATATGACTCTGCACATCCAAACAAATAAGCAGAGTAAAACATGCTTTTTAGCTTCTTTGGTTTGAATCTTACCTTTCCACAAGCCACCATCGATAGGGCAAGCTGGTACCAGAGGTGAAATTCATCAAATGCAAACTTCATGGCTCTCTCCAAGCACTGAGAAACAGATGTGGAGAAAAGTGTCAGACTTTTTTTTTTTTTTTGGACATCTTTTTTTTTGTCAAGACTGCTGCCTTAGCATAGCTCAGCAATCAAGTGAGGGGGGAAAACTTGTTGCGACTAAAGTGTTTTTATTTTTTACTTTTTAAAATAACACCATTTTCCTCTCCTCAATTAATGGACTCTGCTAGTACACAGCATCACTTCAAATCAGGGCCACTTTTTTCAAGTGTCTACATGTAAACTAGTTTACTGTCTAAAACATTTTTGTCTACACTTTTGGCTTGTGCTTCCCTAGGTCTATAGGTATTTCTACTAATCTCCATGTACTATGCTTCCTTTTCACTGCCCTCACCAACAGCTAATAATTGTTATTGAAGAGAGACCTTTCGCTTGCAAAATTGGGTGGAATTTTCAGCAAAAGCCAGGAGGAAGTACCTCAGAAAGCATGACATACTGCCCTCTTCTGCCCAGCGTGATACTGAGGAGGTCGTAGACTGCAGAAGCATCCTGGAGGCTGACAGCTCGGTCGTCCTGCTGGTCAGGGGCACGGCTGATTACTGCATCCCGGTTTGCCTGGGCACAGACACAACTGGGACATCAGACCTCACAAGAGCAAGGCAAGATTACCAACTCCTCCACAGAAAGTCCTACCTGTCCTCCACAGCATATTGTTTAAAGTTTTTTTTTTTTTTAATCCCGAAATAAGGCAGGCGTTTCCCTCCGAAAGTAGACTTATTTGCCTACATGAGGCAAATTCAGGAAGACAGCTATAAATGCAGAAAGGAATTGCTGAGAATATCTCATCTTGATTTATTTCACAGAACAAGAGCAATCAGAGCAGACCTACCCACATAAGATTCCCCAATAAGCAGAAAGCCAAGGCCATCCTTGAACCATATTCCTTATTACTAGGCAGGCGTTTCCCTACGAAAGTAGACTTATTTGCCTACATGAGGCAAATTCAGGAAGACAGCTATAAATGCAGAAAGGAATTGCTGAGAATATCTCATCTTGATTTATTTCACAGAACAAGAGCAATCAGAGCAGACCTACCCACATAAGATTCCCCAATAAGCAGAAAGCCAAGGCCATCCTTGAACCATATTCCTTATTACTACAATTGCCTGCAACTGTGATAACTGCATCCACAGTCGATACACATTTTTGTCTTCTGTGGCTGCTCTTGGTTACTTCCCAGTAGTATGCGTTTCTTTTAATCCTTTCTGCTACTTGCTTTTTATTTTCTAATTTAAGAAGGTTACCTTAGTCACGAGAAAAGCTGATTAAGTTAATGCAATTAGAGCTCTGGTCAATGCAATATCAAACAATTATTTTTAAAATATAAGTATTTATTATGCATAATCTATCACTGCACTGCTTAGTTAGGTCAAATTAAAAGAAACAATACTTTTGACAGAAAATCATCAGTCTAGCAATTTGCAAGGAACATCCCAATTTTGTCAAGTCCCCAGCCTCCATTTTTCTGAGGAAAAATTGGGAAATCTGGAACCTCAAGAGAAAAGTCCCGCCAATTTCAGAATGCTCAGGACTTCACTCGGACTGCCTAACCTCCGAGAAGGGCAGTGCTCTACGCTGCCGAACAACAGCGCTGACTGATAGCACAGATACACTGCCCTGGGCTTCCCAGCTGAAAAGGCTGCAACACAAGACATTCACGTCTGGACATCTAAAAGATCAGAAAAATTAGGAGATTGGCAGGCATTTCACCTGGGGCAAAAACAAACAAAAAATCCCTCCTCCCTAAAGCAGGGAGGCTATGAGATTTGTTTCATAATACTTACTATTATAATCTATGTCTATTTCTTTTAATCGCAGAGAGATTTTCTTTTTCCTAAAAAGGTTAAACATGGGAATTAAGTGTAATAAAAATTTCCAGAATCTGTAGCTCTTAAGGCCCACGCATATTTCATTATGATTAAGCTGCAGCTGTTTCACCATGATATTATCTGTGTAATGCCCCAGCTCCAAGCATTCTTCATCACAGTCTCCAGCAGAGACAGCAAACACAATTAGTGACAACTAACGCAATCACAACCAAGAGCTAAATGGCGACTGCAATTAAAGGCAAACTAACAGATCAAGTTCAGTCCAGTGTTTAGATTGCATACAAATAAACTTATACTAACTCCTGTAGCAACAGAAATATTTTCTTTTCCACATTACTGCAAAAGGTATAATGTGTGATTTAAAAGAAATGGTTCAAAACAATAGGTTGCATGAAAGAATGAAACCAACTTCAAACAGAAAGTCCTGCAATCAGAGCAAAGAAATACAATTCATTTGTCCTTTAAAAAAAAAAAGTGTTCATGCTTTGTTCACGCTTAATCTACGATTGCTCCTATAAAAGAAAGTAAAGAGTTAAAGAAAGACTATATACAAAACAATCCTGAGATTGCTCCTCTCAAAAGAAAGTTAAAGAAAAAGCATATTTAGAGTGATCCCTATTGCTAAGTGAATCCTCCTACGTATATACAATAGCATTAACAAATTTTCTGCACCAGTTACATTGTTATGACAGTAGTTTGTAGAAAATAGCTACTGAGATAGCTCCCCCATGCTCTGTAATCTGATAATCAGCCTCGTATCAGAGTCAGTTACAGTCTGATGCTTTTTTGGGCATCCATCTAGTACCAAACCGATTTTAAAGCTGATGCCTCAGCAAAGATAGAAAATTAATCAGAATTGGTGAGCATTCATTAATTTCTGCTAACAAGTACTGGTACCACATGCACCAACGTGTCCATAACCTGAAACAAGCAGGAAAATGTCACGTATTACAAGGATGCAACATGCTAAATTGGACCATCATGCAGAACATACTGTACTTTTCCTAGACACTCAACACTTAACAACATGCTCCTAGGAAGGACTAATAGTCCAACAAAAACACCATAAACCTGCTTATTTTGTTCAAACTTTCAAATCTCAAAGCTACAGCTGGTCTCTATTCTGTCACTGTCTTTCCACTTGCATATGCAGAAGTTGCCATTCAAAGTCATTAAGTCATTTGTATCCCAAGAACTGTTTTTACAGTTATGCAATTACTGGCCGTATTTCCAACCGCTTGACTCAGAGCAAGTGGAAGTTCTTGCATTAGCACAGAATTCCAGGTGACAGGGCTATAAGAAAAACCACCAAACAGTGCAAATCTCATAATATATAACTCACTGAACATTAACAAGAACATAGAGTACATTGACTGCAATAACGGCCATCATCCCAAGGCTGAAGGTACCATTTACAACTGTAACAGGAGGGTGGAGGAAGGAAGTCTGAATCACTGTTTTTGGAAATCCACTCAGGAAAAATCAAAGTGTTTCTATGGTCTACCTCTCACAAGATGAAGGGTACTATGATCTGGATTATCATTAGCCAACCTCTGTCATTGCCTTTATTTACATTTCTGCTAATTTCAGGGGGGCAGTGAAAGATCCTGACAACTGCTGATAAGTACAGGTGTAAAATAATTGTAGCGCAACTGCAACATGACATACACTGATTCTGTCCAACAGGGAATTTTACATATTGAAGTACACACAAAAATAGAGACAGACAATACCGTGCTTTTTCCCCGTGTAAGCCGTTTTTACTTATGGCATCTACCAACACTCATACATCTTCAGCTGTCTCCAGAAACTAAACCTTTCAGGAGCTAACTTCTCTTTGTCCTCACTTGTTACATTCGTCAATAAAACACGTAGTCATACTCAGGTACTCATTTGTGTTACCATCTAGGCTTACCTGCTTTCAGCTACACAACAGGGAGAGTAACTCCTACTATTATAAGAATTATTTTCCATTAATAGCAAAATTAATTTCACCTGAAAAAGTATTCACAGAATCAGACCTCTGGAGATCATCTAGTCCAACCTCCCTGCTCATGCAAGGTCACCTACAGCAGGTTGCGCAGGATTGTGTCCAGATGGCCTTTGAATATCTCCAAGGATGGAGACTCCACCACCTCTCTGGGCAACCTGGTCCAGTGCTCTGTCACCCTCACAGTCAAGAGGTTTTTCCTCAGGTTCAGACGGAACTGCCTGTGGTTCAGTTTGTGCCCGTTGCCTCTCGTCCTGTCGCTGGGCACCACGGAGAAAAGTCTGGCCCCATCCTCTCGACACCCTCCCTTCAGATACTTGTACACCTTATCAGATCCCCTCTCAGTCTTCTCTTCTCCAGGCTCAACAGGCCTCTCTCTTGTACTGGGGAGCCCAGCACTGGACACAGTACTCCAGGTGAGGCCTCCCCAGGGCTGAGGAGAGGGGCAGGATCACCTCCCTCCACCTGCTGGCAACACTCTGCCTAATGCAGCCCAGCATACCACTGGCCTTCTTGGCCACAAGGGCACATTTGCTGGCTCACAGTCAAGCTGTTGTCCACCAGCACTCCCAGGTCCTTCTCGGCAGAGCTGCTTCCCAGCAGGTCAGCCCCCAGCCTGTACTGCTGCCTGGGGCTATTCCTCCCCAGGGGCAGGACGCTGCACTTGCCTTTGTTGAACTTCAGGAGGTTCCTCTCTGCCTGTCTCTCCAGCCTGTCCAGGTCCCTCTGAATGGCAGCACAGCCCTCTGGTGTGTCAGCCACTCCTCCCAGTTCAGTACCATCAGCAAACTTGCTGAGAGTGCACTCTGTCCCTTCCTCCAGGTCATTGATGAATACATTGAACAAGACTGGACCCAGGACTGACCCCTGGGGGACACTGCTAGCTTTCCCTTTGGTGAATCTGTGCCGACTACTCCTGATCACCTTCTTGTTCTCCACATGCTTAGTGATGACCTCCAGGATGAGCTGTTCCATTAGCTTTCCTGGGCTGGAGGGGAGGCCGACAGGCCTGTAGTTTCCTGGCTCCTCCTTCTAGCTCTTTTTGAAGACTGCAGAGCCATTGGCTTTCTTCCAGTCCTTTGGCACTGGAATTGCCTACTGCATAATACAATAAAACCAATACCACCTCATTGCAGAAAGCAGTCTTAAGAACTGGATTTCTGACCCCACTATTTATCTTTTGGGAAAAGTTCCCTTTGGTATTCACAGAAGACTGAATTGTATACATCACCAAATACACCAAATACATTGCCAGAGAGAAATTTCATTTTACATGTGAGAACGCAAACATAAGCTATCAACATTTTTTCCATACTTTTGTGTTTCTATTCTTTCAGGCCACTAATTTTTCTGAACATAAATGCAAAAAGGGCTATTTCTAGAATACTGGTCTCCCAAGAGTACATCAATAACGTAAGTAGCAATTCCTAATTTGTCCCATTGCGTTATTTCTTCCTCCTTTTCAACTATTAAGTAGCATCAAAATATAGTGACAAATACTTTTGCAACACTCCCAATATGACTTTTCCCTTTAAGCTGTTACCATTGTTAAATGGACATACCTTATTTGTACACTAGTGGGACTGAGAAATGATGATGATTCACACAGTCATTAAAAAAGAGAACCTCTGTTCAAGGCCTATTGTTTGGGACAGACAAGATCACTAATATTACCAACAGGCTTCAGCATCAGGAGTTAGCATAACCTGCATTACACAGAAAAAATATACAGCTAA